GAGTTTGTATAATCTGAAGAACAATGCAGCAATTCCCAGTAAGGAGTATTTTGATTAGGTGATTCAGAATCATTGCACCAGCTTGTTGGAGCCTTCTTCCACCTGCAGCAGAGCCAACGTGCAGCGCCAAATTCATTAAGGAATGGGGCTTGGTTAATATGGAGTTGCAGCAGTGGCAAAACCTCAGACATCCTTGCTTTTTGACCCTTTTTCCTCCATTCCAGCTGGACTATTACCCTTCTACTTTCATAACAGAATGATTTCCTCAGACTTGCTTTTAATGTTTGTCTGTTTATTTGTAGATTTACTTACATCATCTTGTATTTGCTTGAGGACATGTCAAGGTCCTTTTGGCTGACCTTTGTAGATTAACAAGTTTCCCTCAGGACATCTTTATCATCACACCTGAGGACTTCTCTCTCATGCTCCTATCCACTTTTTTTGTGTGTGAAGAAGATTGGCCCTGAGCCCACATATGTTGCCAATCTTCCTCTTTTTGCTTGAGAAAGATTGTCACTGAGCTAACATCTGTGCCAGTCTTCCTCTATTCTGTGTGGGATGCTGCCACAGCATGGCTCGATGGGCGCTGCTATATCCACGCCCAGGATCCAAAACCACAAACCCCTGGCCCCCAAAGTAGAGCTGGCGAACTTAACCACTATGCCACAGGGCTAGCCCCTCACTTTCAAACTGATTATGACTAGCCACTTCTAGAGCACTAAGTTTCTGACCTTACGCCAGCATTTGTACACTGTGAGACGACTGAGTCCATAAGCAAGGTTACAAGTTTCCATTCAGTCCCACCACTGTTTACTTCTTGAGGCATGTGTGATTAATTTCAGGTGTTTATTACCTGTTTAGTTGCCAAGATGGTATGTCCTAAAGCTAGAGCCTTTTAAAACATTGTTTTCTTGACATTTGATCGTTCAGCTGAAGCTTTTAAACATCTTTTGTCAGTGGGGCATCAGTAAGGAATGAGGTTACTTCAGAATGGGTCTGGGATGATCCTAATTATGGAGAGGCTAGAGGCAGGGAGGAGAGAAGCACAAAAATACAGTGCTACTTCTGCCTCGGGTGGATCCTAAATGTGTATGCTTTTGATTTTGCAAAATCATTAAATGAAAAGACAGCTGTTCAGGGACTGAAGCCCTGTGACTGGAATGACATTTAGCCTCAATCATCCAGTGCCCAGGTTCTGCCCTTTATGCTGACATCTCAGAAGCACTCTGATGACGGCTTGCCCTGAGTCTAAAGGACCAGAATTGGACACACAGATGACATCCTAGCTGTGTGCACCCATTTTATCCACACCCACACCACAGACAGTTTAGTCAAGATTCTGTCACAAAGCCAACGTGGCTTCTTTGGAGCAGCCATTCAGAAAAACAAGAAATTGTTTTTGTCAGCCTCCCAGCTCAGCAGGCCAGCCTGCTGCATGAGGCAGACTGGGCGTTCCATCTGTTTTCTCTCGGGAGTGGTCTTGAGTCCTCACATTTCTGGTGACAGACATGCCTCAGAGAACAGCACTGTGCTGTGAGCCAGGTAGTATCACTAGAGACTGCCAGAAAACATTGTGGGCCTCAGCGAGCCCTGAGCCAACGCCCTGTGAGTAGGATCTGCTGTTCTGGCAACTGCAGACCTCCCCAAGGCCCACAGACTCAAGATGTCCAAAACAAGAATCATAATTCGCCTCTCCAACACCCTTCTCTCTGCTTCCTGTCCCAGTCCCTGGCATCACCATCCCTCGAGAAACAGGGAGGTCTTTCTTGACTAGTTCCCTCCCTCACCCCGAGAGCAAGCTATCAACAAGTTCAGCCATTTTCCCTCCAACGTTTCTCAAATCTATCCACTTCTCTCCACCTCAACCCCAACACCCTAGTGTAAGTGGCACCCATCTCTCGCCTAAAGAGTACTGACACCTTCCCAAATGGTCTGCCATATCCACTGCCCCTCCGTCCGCTCTCTACCCTAGTTCAGGGTGATTTTTTTTAAATATTGGCACCTGAGGTAACAACTGTTGCCAATCTTTTTTTTTTTTTTGCTTTTTCCCCCCAAATCCCTGCCCCTCAGTATATAGTTGTATATTTTAGTTGTGGGTCTTTCTAGTTGTGGCATGTGGGATGCCACCTCAGCATGGCCTGATGAGCGGTGCCGTGTTGGCACCCAGGATCCCAACCGGCGAAACCCTGGGCTGCCACAGCAGAGCGCGCAAACCCAAGCACTCGGCCACAGGGCCGGCCCCCAGAGTGAGTTTTTAAAACACAAATTATGTCACCTGCCTGATGAAAGCCCTCCACAATCTCCCACTATCTCGGGACAGAGATCAGTGTCCAGGTTCTGGCCTGTGGTCTGGCCTCTGCCTACAACTCCAGCCTTGTCTTGGGCTACACACCATCCCCAAATCGTGACACACCAGCCCTGGTGGTTTTCCTCTCATCCACGCTCCTTAGTCCCACAAGACCTTTATACCTGCTGTTCCCTCTCTGTGATAGGACCTTCCCAACACACTCCCCATTTTTTAAGGTGGTAAAATATACATAACACAAAATTTAACATTTTAACCATTTTAATTCTACAATTCAGTGGCATTGAATACATTCACATTATTGTGCAAAAATATGGAACACCACTAATTTGCATGTCATTCTTGCACGAGGGACCATGTTAATCTCTGTATTGTTCCACTTTTAGTCCATGTGCTACTGAAGTCAGTCTGACTCATCCTACAGATCTCAGCTTAAAAGTCACTATTCAGAGAAGTCTTTGAAGACCAGGCCTGTCCCCCGTCACACATGCCCTTGGCTGCACCGCACTCAGCATGAGAGATATGATTGTTTGATTGGTTGTGTCTCCCTCACTAGACTGTGAGTTCCGTGAGGGCAGCTCTTAGGGCCTAGCGGAGTGCGAGGCACATGGTAGGACTCAGTGAATCCTAGTTACATGAATGAGTGAACAAATGAGCACAGAAATGCAATTCTACCCACAGTGAAACCACCTTTGACATTAGTGTAGAAAACCATATAGTTCTGCATTGTCTTGAATTCCATTCTAGGTAGCATCTTGGCTTCACCTTTGAAAACCTAAAACCACGAGGCCAGACCCCTGGCCAAGTGGTTAAGCTTGCGTGCTATGCTTTGGTGGCCCAGGGTTTCACCAGTTCAGATCCTGGGCACAGACCTAGCACCGCTCATCAAGCCATGTTTGGGCAGCGTCCCATATAGCATGACCAAAAGGACCTACAACTAGAATATACAACTATGTCCTGGGGGACTTTGGAGAGAAGAAAAGAAAAAAGAAGATTGGCAACAGATGTTAGCTCAGGTACCAATCTTTAAAAAAAAAAAACAAAAGAGGGGGCCGGCCCTGTGGCCGAGTGGTTAAGTTCGTGTGCTCTGCTTCAGCGGCCCAGGGTTCAGATCCTGGGCGCGGACATGGCACCGCTCGTTAGGCCATGCTGAGGTGGCGTCCCATATGCCACAACTAGAGAAACCCAACAACTAAAAGATATACAACTATGTACTGGGGGAATTTGGGGAGAAAAAAAGAAGCAAGAAAAAAAGAAGATTGGCAACAGTTGTTAGCTCAGGTGTCAATCTTTAAAAAAAAAAAAAGAAAAGAAAACCTAAAACCAATAGTGAGATTTCTTTTCTCCTTTTCTCAAACAGAATAATTATTATTTCAGACTTTCCCTCTCATAAAAGAGGAAAATACCTGGTAGTTTTTAAATAGTATGTTTTCTTTGATTCTATTCATCAAGGTTTCAAACTATTGAATCTAGACTCAGATCTCTGAAGCAGTTTGTAATTTCTGAAACTAATGTCAAGTAGGTCTCATTTTGCATAAGCTGCAAGGCCCTGGACCTGATCCTGCCCCACCATGTCTGCAGAGGAGCCCCCACCACCTATTGGGGCTGATGTGGGTCTGGAAATGGCTTTCCCTGGACCCTGAGGTGTGTCTGCACCCACCAAGTTCCAGAAGAACTTGTCACACCTACTCCAGGAAGCTCTGCTGTGGGCCAGACAGGGTGGGTCTGGGATCTCATGGGACCAAGGACTCCAGCCCTGAGTTACAGCAAGAACAGCTGACACGCGCATGTCCCTGCACTTTGTGTGTTATTCATAACGCCAGGAGCTGTGGAGCAGCATCGTCATCCATAGCAGCATCCCACTTTCACAGAAGAGGGTAAAACTCGCCAAAGTCGAGCAGCCGCGCACGATCCCTCAGCGGGGCCAGGCCAGATTTGGCATCTGATTTTGACACCAAAACCCTCGCTCTTTTCACTCCGCTTTGCTCCATATGACACTAACCACTGCATTTTTAGAGGCAACTTCTATTATAAGAGTACCCTTGAAGTGGCATAAATAAAGATCTCTGGTCACTTTGCACCATAGGCGAAGCCATGGAAAGTAGAAAGAAATGTGGCCTGTGGTTATAATTGTGTGGTTTATTTATGTGGTTTAATGTGGTTGATTGCATATCTGTGGTTATTCAACAAGTGTGTGTTGACTGTCTGATCAAAAGTCTGAGAGTAGGTATCACATGATGACCAAGACTGCCTGGCAGCACACAAAGCCCTCAAAGCCCTGGGCCTGTGAGCTGCCCCAGGCCCTGCCTCCACTACAGAGTGTCCTCGTGCACACCGTCTGGGAGCTCAGTCTTCTCCTGGCTTTCTGCAAAGTTTCACTTTGTCCTAGGGAAAAAGCTACGACGCCCCCTGCCTCCAAGCATAGCCTCTGTAGGCTGGGTCCCCCAGGTTCCTCTAAATCCTGCCTGTCCACACCCTCTTCATGGAGAACATGGTGAAGAACACACTAATCTCTTGGATCAAAGTGAGAACGAAATGAATAACACTCCCAGTAGAGGATCAAATGTACATAAGCCCGGGGGCTCCTGGCTGAGGAGGTGATGAAAGGGAGACAGGCGCCTGTCCTGAGGTCACAGACCAAAACCTTCTGACACCTGTCCCCTCACCACCACCACCACCATGTCCAGCCTTGGCCCCAGTGAGTGAAGCTTCCAGTGACCAAAAATGTCCCTCAGTCTGACATTTCCCATCCCCCCATTAGGTTTTCCTTTTTTCGTATCTAGAAATGTGCCTATCATCACCTCTGCCACATGTTCCCCTCAGCTCCCCATGACCCTCACCTCCTCTTCCCTTGACCACGGCTCATTTTGTTTCACGTTGACTGTCAAAACTCCAGCTGGAGCAGAATGTAGGCAACTTAGCTTTATTCACACAGCAATGCATGCACACATCCCCCAGACTTTCCTTATCTACCTCCACCTTAGGTTTTCCAAAGCTCCTTTGTTTAAAAAAGAAATCTTCTCAGGGGTCCATCATCTTACTTCATTGTTCTCACTTTCCATCTAATTCTGAAAGATCTTCAAGCTTTTCAGGGAAAAAAAGTGTTTTATGTTATTTTCATGATATTTTAGATCATCATCACCATTATCACTATTATTGTTATTACTATTAAACATTGATTTCCACTCTGATCCTTACTTACAAAATTATCTCTTCTGACATAAAGCCCTTCTGCTCCCGTATTCCTTGAAATTAATGGTTTTATTATTGAATCTTAGCTTTGTCAGCTTAAGAACAGTTTCCACTGACGTCTGCATTTTACCTTCGGTACCTGCTCATCTTTCCCCTTGGATTGTTTTTTAGCGACAGGCTTCACACAAGGACACACTGTGTGTGTGAAGGGTGTCAAGAGCATGCCTGTGGTTGGGGACAATAACTTCCCAGAGACACAGGACAGCCTGGTTGTTCTGGTATTTATTCCTGTCCTTTAACTTTTCCTTGCTTCTCAGGGAAAATTGAAGCCCTGAGAAAACCTCTAGTGGTTGTAGAGAAATACTAATCACGTCTTGAGGGGAGATTCTTACATCTGCATTATCAGTGCTTACTTGTTTCCACCACTTATAGTTTAAACCATTTTACTCTTAAAATTGTTCATGACCATGCATTTTGAAGGGGTCATTTACCAAACGTTGAAATTTTGGACCAAATGGAAAGGCTGGGAAAGCAGCCTTGAAGACCAGCACACTGAGTGGGGAGCACCTGTGCAGCTTTCTTTCCACTAATCCTGAAAGGGCTAATCTGAAGGAGAAACCCTCGGACTGCAAAGCAGACTTGTTGTTAGGAATTAAATTTCTCTTAGTGCACTGAGTAATAAGCAACAAGAAAGATTGCTGTGCTTTTCTACATAGGATCATTCAGTGTGTATGTTGTAACAATGACAGCCAAATGTAACTAGTTGTGAAAGCTGAAAGTGCCCGTGAGCACAGGTGGCTAGCTGGGTGGGCAGCCGTGGTGATGAGGACACCATCCTAATCAGACATTCATCATTGAATGAGTACCAACTTGACTTCTTAGTGCTTCAAAGCAAAACAAGAAGATGCTTTATAGGGACTTGAAATCTAGTTTAGAAGAACAAAATTAGTACAATGAGACCAACATGCAACTGGTTAGAGGCTAACAACTGCTCAGAGAGAAAGGGCAGCTTCCTCCTCGTTCTTTCTCACACTGTCACCTTGACAAGAGGGGTCCTCAGTCTTTGTGCTTGGTTTCCTACTATGGAAAAATTCCTCAGAGTAACTTTGTTATGAATCTCTCATTCTTACTCAGTAGTTTGCTCCAATCTCACCCACCATGGCTACAGAGACCCTATTCTGAATATGTAGAGACTTTGTTTTCATTTGGGGTCCAAAAGCAGAAAGGGACAACTAGAAATGTATAACATAGTATTACTTGCATTTTTTATTATCAGGCTCAGATATGTTTTAATTTAAATAAACACAGCACTCAAAAACTGGCTTTCCAGATTAGAACATAAGATATAAAGAACCTCAGGGGCCGGCCCAGTGGTGCAGCAGTTAAGTGCATACATTCCACTTTGGTGGCCCCGGGTTCACCGGTTCAGATCCCGGGTGCAGACATGGCACCACTTGGCAAGCCATGTTGTGGTAGGCATCCACGTATAAAGTGGAGGAAAATGGGCACGGGTGTCAGCTCAGGGCCAGTCTTCCTCAGCAAAAAGAGGAGGATTGGCAGACATTAGCTCAGGGCTAGTCTTCCTCAAAAAGTAAAAATTTAAAAATTAAAAATAAAAAAGAGATATAAAGAAGCTCAAATATTTCAATCATTTATGGTCATGAAGTGCCCTATTCAAACATAACCACTAACCCTGAAGACAGATATTGTCTATTGCTGCATAACAAATTACCCCAAAATTTACTGGCTTAAAACGACAATAAACATTTACTATCTCTTGCAGGTTTTGTGAGGCAAGGATTTAAGAGCAGCTTATCCGAGTGCTTCTGGCTCCAGATTTCTCTCAAGGTCGTAGTCAAAATATAGATCGGGGCTGCAGAATCTGATGGCTTCATGGGTTGGAGACCTACATGGATATTGGCCAACTCACACGCCTGGCAAGTTGGTACTGGTTGTTGATTTGAGGCTTCAGTTCCTCACCATGTATGCTTCTCCACAAGGCTACTTGCATGTCTCGATGACATGGCAGCTGGCTTCCCACAGAGCAAATGTTCTGAGAGAGAGAAGCCCAGGCGGAACCTTTATCCTTTTATGACCTGGTATCAGAAGTCACATCGCATCACTTAAATTCATTAGAAGTGAGTCACAAACTCCAGCACACATTCCAAGGGAAGGAAATTAAGCTCCACGTGTTAAAGGGAAAAGTGTCAAGTAATTTGCAGACGTGCTGTAAAACCATCAGTGGTTATAGATAAATGAAAATCATTTTTAAATCTTCATAGCTTGTTTTGAGATATAATTCATATAAAGTAAAATTCATTAATCTGAAGTGTACAGCTGAGTGACTTTCTACATGAGCATGTACCTGTATAACCACCACCTAGATCAAAATATAGAGCATTTTCAGCTCCTCAAAAGTTCCATCATGTGAACTCCTTTGAATTTTCTATGTACACAATCACCAGCTACAAACAAAGACAACTCTAATTCTTCCTTTCTAATCTTTTTAACTTTCACTTATTTTCCTTGGCTTTCTGTACTGTCTGGGACCTCCAGAATAATATTGAATAGATGTGGTGTGAGTGGACATCCTTGTCTTGACTCCACTTAGAGGGAACATGTTTGGTATTTTACCATATTGGTCTGAAGGTTGTTTTATAGATAACTTTTATCAAATTGAGGAAGCTAGATTCTACTTCTAATTTGATTAAGTTTTGGCAATAGAAGTATAAATAGAATCACAATTCATGATTTTACCACTTGCTCATAACTTTAAAAATTAGCCAGGGTTGGGGCTGGCCCCGTGGCCGAGTGGTTAAGTTCGCGCGCTCCGCTGCAGGCGGCCCAGTGTTTCGTTGGTTCGAATCCTGGGCGCGGACATGGCACTGCTCATCAGACCACGCTGAGGCGGCGTCCCACGTGCCACAACTAGAAGAACCCGCAACGAAGAATACACAACTATGTACTGGGGGGCTTTGGGGAGAAAAAGGAAAAAATAAAATCTTTAAAAAAAAAAAAATTAGCCAGGGTTTTGCCTTTATCTGCCAATGAAACTTATCTAATTTACAGAAAAATTGTGCCAGGTATACACATGAAAAAGTATTTCCAAGGCAGTCCTCAATTTCCAAATATACTGATCTCCAAACTTGTCTTTGTTTGTCAGGTCTTTAGAAATTGCTAGACTATTTCACACAGAAGCTTAATTATGCCTGGTGGAGGACAGTGTCAAGATGGCAGCATAGGTAGACTCTGAACTCACCTCCTCCCATGGACACAACCAATTTACAATAACACTGGGAATGATTATCACTGAAAGAAAACTAAAGACTGGATAAAAAGAACCCCTGCAACAAGGGACCATCCTGACTGAGGTGAAAGAGGCAGAAATTCCTTTCTGGAGAGAAAAAAGCCACCATCACAAGCCACGGCACTTCACAGCTGGCCAGGAGCAATCCTAAGGTATGCAGCCTTCCCCAGAGAAGTAGGGGAGCTGAGCAGGGGAGCATTACTGCTATAAGCCTGCGTTGGACTCAGCACAACTGAGATGAGTCTCATAATATCTGGCTTTGCTGGCTAATAACAACAATGGGGAATACACTCAGAAATGCTATGGGACATAAGGGGGGAAAAAAGCAAGCTCTTCAAGGGCCCATGCACAAATTCACCTGTTTTGCAAGGCAACCCAAAATCACCAAAAAGAAAGGGGCACAGTCCTTTGGAGAAAGAGACTCACTCTGTGCATCTTGATGAGACGTGAGACCTCTCCAGGGACTGAGATATTGGCGGCAGCCATTATTGTGATCTAGTACAGGCATGCAGACACAGACGTCATTGGAGTTCTTCCACTGGCCTGTTAGCCCAGGGGTCTGCCCCACCCACTAAAACTCCAATTTAATCCAGCTCAACCAGGGCAGGCAGCTGGCGCTAGGGTTTGGCCACACCCATCAACAAGCCCTCAGGCAACTTTCAGTCTACATAGGCTAGGTGCCTGGATCCTCTGCAGCCAGGCCAGTGGGTCCACCCCTACCAGGCAAGGTGTGTGTAAGCAGCAGGTGGAGTGTGTGGGGTGTTGGTGGAGTGGGTGGCACCTCTGCAGTGGGGTGACTGGGTCCACTCCAGGGAATCAGGACAAGTGCATGGGGCAGGACTATGTTGACAGTGTGTGTGGCCCTGTGGGCAGTGGGTCTTGTCAGCTGCAACAGACTTTTACTGCTCAAATACCCACATAAGGGATTGGCTTCACCTTCCAAAGCCTGAAATAATTGGATGCTCCCGTGCCTGGGCCCAGCCCCACTCAGCTGAAATCCTGAGAGAGCTGACAACAGCCTTGCACACCAGAGGCCTACAGCAATTGTAAGCCCCTGAGCATAGCAACCAGCTGTGCTGGGGGCCTACTCACTTAACAGAAAAACTGCAAAGGGAATGTGATATTAGACCTTGCAGCCAACTGTGCTGGGGCTCCCCATGCCTGATAAAGTGACTGAAGTGTCCATTGCAGCCACACGCAGCTGAGAATTACAAACAGTAGAGCAGGGAGACAATCTAGCCTCCCAGGCACCTGCTACAAGAGCAACCCTGCTACAGCAGAAGGACACACATAGCCCACACAGGGTCACTCATGGAACATGTGGAACTGGTGACAAGAGGGAAGCACACTGCTCGGCCAAATAAGGTATCTCTTACATAAGCCCACCTCTCCAAGATCAGGAGGCATAGCTGACCCACCTAATACATAGATATAAGCAGAGAAAGAAGCAAATGAGAAGGCAATGGAATATGTTCCAAGTAAGAGAATAGGACAAAACCCCATAAAAAGACCTAAATGAAACAGAAATAAACAATCTACCTGACAAAGAGTTCAAAGAAAAAGTCATTAGGATGCTCACTGACCT